CCTATGATTTATCCTATAAGGGTACATGTCAATCTTTCTAAATGTGGAATATAAATGTCTTAACACAACAACTATGAGAATAACATGAAGGCTATGGTGGCCAATTGGATGAAAGTATTTCATATTGTATATGGAAACAACACACTGTACCCCATGATAGTATTAATGTATACAACTATGATTTAATACGCAAAAAAATTTTTAAATTTCATTGGAGTGGTTTAAAGACACAAAAGAACAGTGGTTTTAGTAGTAGCGGTAGTGCTAGTATTTGTTATGATATTAAAATAACTACATTAATTAATTTACTACTTTTGAAAGCTTATAAGGGAATCCCTGAATATTTTATATCCTCTGTTCTTCACTGAGATTTCATATCTAGGTGCACATGTTTGTTATGGATACGGGTCAAATGTCACATCAGCCTCCCTGGGACTTGATAGTGTCAGTATTTATTTTTTCTTTTTTTAATTTCTTTATTGTTATGTAACTCATTACCATGAATTTAGCATCTTAAAACCATACCCATTTATTATCTCCCAGTTCTGAAGATCAGACATACTGGTGGAATCAGCTGGCTCTTCAGCTCAGGGTTTCACCAGGCCAAAATTGGGTGTTGGCCATGCTGGGCTTCTCTGATGGGCCTGGGCAAGAATCTAGGCTCATTCAAGTTTTGGGCACAATGTAGGTTCCTGCATATTGTAGGCCTGAGGTTCTTGTTTTCTTGCTGGTATCAGTGGAGGCCCACTTTGTGCTCTAGAGACCACTCACTTTCATCCTCACATGACCTTTTCACTGTCAAAGCTGGCAATGGCCTATCACATCCTAATCTCACTAGGAGAATGTGCCACCAACCACATTGCCAGAGAAACCTTTCTGATTCCCAAGGGCTCATACAATTAAATCAGACCCACCCATGTAGTCTTTCTCTTGTCAAATTATGTAACATAATCATGAGGCTAATGCCAGGATGTGAAGGTCATGGATGCATTTTAGAGTCTGTCCACAGTAACATAACCTTGAAAGTAGTGGATTTTATTTTAATGAAATTTTCTCATAGAGTATTAGAAAAAAATTACTAAGGGGGTTTATAAGTATGGATATAAGCCAGGTACTGTGTCGTACACCTATATTACCAGCTAAGGAGGAGACTGAGGCAGGCATTCCCTTGATTCCAGGATTTGGGAGCTGTAGTGCACTATGATCATGCCTGTGAATAGTTACTCTCCACACCAACCGGAACAAAATAGCAAGACCTGGCTCTTTTAAAAAATTTCCTTGGATGTAGATGAAAGTAATCTAAATGACTGTCCATTTGTCATCATCAGTGGTTACATTTTTATGGGTGAAATAAATGAGCTCTAGATTATTCAGTAGTAACTTTGGAATACCCCACAGAGTAATGATAAATATGCTTAGTGACTTGCCAGATGAAATACTGATTTGTTTTCTCTAGGAGCTATTAGAGAAGCATGGGCAACCATGTGACTATTCTCAGTGGCTTTCTGAGGTTTTTACATGTCCTTTCCATCCTTTCACATGTTGCACAAAATTCTTTCCACAGTTGATGTAAAGCTGGACCCCGCCACGGCACATCCTAGCCTCCTCTTGACTGCTGACCTGCGCAGAGTGCAGGAAGGAGAAGTGTGGAGGGATGTCCCCAACAACCCCGAGCGATTTGACACATGGCCCTGTGTCCTGGGTTTGCAGAGCTTCTCCTCAGGGAGGCACTATTGGGAGGTGGTTGTGGGAGACAAAGCAGAGTGGGGTTTGGGTGTCTGTCAAGATGCAGTGCCACGGAAGGGAGAAAGCACACCATCTCCTGAGAACGGGGTCTGGGCCATGTGGCTGCTGAAGGGGAATGAGTACATGGTCCTTGCTTCTCCCTCCGTGTCTCTTCTCCAGCTGGAAAGGCCTAGGTGCATTGGGATTTTCTTGGACTATGAAGCAGGTGAAATCTCATTTTACAATGTCACAAATGGCTCTTACATTTACACATTTAGCCAACTGTTTTCTGGCTTTCTCCGGCCTTATTTTTTCATCTGTGACATGATGCCTCTTATCTTGTCACCTGTGACAGAAGCAGAGTCAGGAAATATGGCATCCCAGGGTCATTATGACCCTGCCTCTAGTGTTAGAGATGAACATTCCTGAAATTCTGTTCTTAACATAGGTTTAGCTTAACAGAGGTTCCCAGAATGGAGAGAAGACTGTAAATATGCCAAGTTTCATCAGATGCTCCTCAAAAAAAAGATACCAAGTATTTGCATATATGGAGGAACCCTTCAACACTGCCGAGTATAATAAAGTTGGAAATGGAGCAATCTCATCAAACTCTATTTGCTGATGATGACTCCTTACACTTTCTTCATGGGTCTTCTTTCAAATTAATGACCTTGTATTCCAGAAAGATTTCTATACCTTTATTATAATTTCTCATTTCTTTCAAGATCCTCTCATTCCAAATCTTCCATATATTAAGCATCAAAAATGGCAATTTTTTTTTTTTTTTTTT